CTGAGGAGGCCCCACCTAGAGTGTCCAGTTTTCCTGCGTCAGCAAAAGCCCCAAAACCAAGTCCGTAACTTTGCCTCTGGATCACAAACCTGGGCATACTGTGGCGCTCGGGAATACATGAAACAAGAACAGACTGGCCCAGCAACCCCATCATACTTTTCTGTTCGCCTTCAAAAAACGCAGGAGCGTGTCTCCATGTCTCAAAAACTGAGCAGCTGCCCTAACAATACCTAGTCTTCCTCACCATCACCATCAGCAGCACCGCCTCCAATGAGAACTAATTTAAATTTAGAGCAAACTGAAAGTGGGCCATGAGCAACACACTCAAAACCACATCCACCCGCGCGCCTTCGCCGCGATCACTCTCAGATGAAATGGCATCAGCCTCCTCCACATCATTCGCACCTGGTTTGCCAAGAGCTCCACACACGCAGAAAGCAAACAAACAGTCTAGACCTTCGCCTGCAACGCCAGCTGCAGCGCCAGCTGGAGGATTTGGAGGGGGAGCACCATGACCTGTGACAATGACACGCGCATAGACAGCCACAATTTGGGGGGATCTTTTCACACAGAAGACTTTCCGCGCCATCTCCACCGCCAGCTGCTACCACCGCAGCTCCACCACCTCCGAGAGTGACACGCGCATAGACAGCCACAATTCCGAGGATCTTTTCACACAGAAGACTAATTTCCGCGCGCCATCTCCACCACCAGCTGCTACCACCGCAGCTCCACCACCTCCGAGAGTGACACGCGCATAGACAGCCACATTCCGGTGATCTTTTCACACAGAAGATTTTCCGCGCCATCTCCACCACCAGCTGCCACCACCGCAGCTCCACCACCTCCTGCAAATGCCCCATGAGTGAATGCTCGGCCGTCCATCCGCCACCTGGCCTCCTGCTCCGGCTTGGTGCACCAGGAGCAACAGGTCGTCACGGCTGAGTTGCCGGGCAGCCTAGTGCGAAACAGCAGCAACTGTATTCTAATTTCGAAGATGTCCAAGCCTGCATCAGGCGGGCACGTCGTTTTTTCATATTCTTCTCCTGCTTTGCCAATGCACGGTTGGCCGCGCGCATCGCGGCCCGTCGTTGCTTCAAGTCATTCAACTCCTCCGCAAGGACCTCACCAAGGAACCAACATTTTGCGCAACGAGAAGACACCCCGCACAAAGCTTAGACCGCCTCCACGCGATTCCTCTTTGGAGGCATGTCCTGATTACAAACGGAGACGGCGCGCGCGTTTCAATTGCTGGCCGTTACAGTCCGGCCTCTGCGCGCGTTCCCACAAAGAAACCGTTTTGAACACACAGGGCTGTGGACAGGCGCGCACGCACTTCTCACTGTGAGGCCTAACCGAACTACTCGGCTGCGCACCGAAGGTTACCCCCACACCCCCCGATTTCAATGTTGGACGCGTGGGCAGAGACATGCTTCTTTGGTACCTATTTGCTATTGGGCCGTGGGCGCCCACATCAACATTGAAATGTGGAAGGGAATGGGAAGGGCGGTGTAGCATTCTTGTAGAGAAGCGCACCGCTGCACAAATCAAGAATGTACCCAACACAAATCAAGAAGAGTGCCTGTGCACAAATTGAGAAGTGTACCTGTGCACAAATCGAGAAGCGCACGGCTGCACAAATCAAGAGTGTACCATCCACAAATTAAGAAGTGTACCTGTGCGCAAATCCAGAAATGCACCGCTGCACAAATCGAGAATGTAGCACACACAAATTAAGAAGTGCAGCTGTGCACAAATCAAGCAGTCTACCTGTGCACTAACTGCTCAAATCGAGAATGCACCACACACAAATCCAGCAGTGTGTACTACTCGAGAAGTGCACCGCTGCACAAATCGAGAATGCACCACGCACGCATTAAAAAGTGGACCTGTGCACAAATCGAGAAGTGCACCGCTGCACATATCAAGAATGTACCGGACACAAATCAAGAAGTGTACCTGCGCGCAAATCAAGAAGTGCACCGCTGCACAAATCGAGACTGTACCAGACACAAATCAAGAAGTGCACCTGCGCACAAATCAAGAAGTGTACCTGTGCACAAATCGAGAAGTGTGCCAAGTTGGCCGTGTCCTACATGCTGCTGACTGGTCTGAGCCCCAAAACACATTTCCAGCTGTGATGCAACGCCCAAACATTTACATAAATTTTCAAAACCGAACCAATACAAATCCAACAAGATGTGAAGTGCGCCGAACCATCTCAGGCCTCCAGCGTGAACATGTCACACGCCAACGCACATAGAGCTGCGTGTGCCAAATGTATCATGTTGTCAGCCAAATGCGTCACACCCATGAGACTTGAAAGCGCTGGCAATCACTAGGTACTCCATATGGACACGAAACGCCACGTTCACACGCAAAACTCTGCTGCAATTCAGACTACTCTTTACATCTGACAAAGCTGGGAATGGAGCGCTGCGCAGGTGCCGTTGAAGCCAGCGAAGATGAAATCTGCCAAGTATATTCAGTTCCCAGATGAAATCTCCAAAGTGTGTCCAAAGCTCCTTCAAGAGCCTGGCTCCACTTCCGTACCATTGGTCAATTCCGCAAAGCGCATTCAGTGCCAAGACTGAATCTACAAAATGCGCCTAAAGTTCATTTACAACAAAGCAAAAATCTAGCTCACAAGTCAGCTATACTTCTATTTTACAAATTCTCAATCTAGTCTTACCGTGTCAGCTCCAACATGAAATCTGCGAAGTGCGTCCAAAGCCGGGCCCCGCCAGCAACATAGAGACGTAGACGGCGCAGTGTCTTGACATTGCATGTCCCAAAACACAGGGCCCCAAAGCGGACGCCCAACATAGCGCAGCGTCTAGAAATTGCACGTCTAAACACAGGCCCCGCCCTAGGTTTAAACCGGCCAGCCCCGCAGCGGGGTGCCTAACATGGACGGCGCAGTGTCTAGAAAATGCATGCGCAAAAACACATTCCCCAGGTCGACACCGGCCAGCGCCAAAGCGCGCGTCAACGTAGAGGCCACAGTGTGCGTAAATTGCATGTCTCAACACAGGTCCCACGCCTTACGTTATGACCGGCCAGCCTGAAGTGGGCGCCTAACATAGAGGGCGCAGTGTCTAGAAGTTGCCTGTCTCAACACAGGTCCCACGCCCTAGGTTTATACCGGCCAGCCCCCGCAGGGGGTGCCTAACATAGACTGCGCAGTGTCTAGAAATTGTGTTTTCCAAAACACAGGGCCTAGGTTTATTTCGGCCAGCCTCGAAGTGGGGCCTAACATGGAGGGCGCAATGTCTAGAAATTTCACTTCCAAAAACACATTTCCTAGGCTTTTACCGGCCAGCCCAGAAGGGGGGGCGCCGAACATGGAGGGCGCAGTGTCTAGAAATTGCACGTCTAAACACAGGCCCCGCGCGCCCAGTTGACACCGACCAGCCCCGCAAGGGGGTTCCTAACAAGGCGGCGCAGTGTCCAGAAATTGCATATCCAAAAACACAGGGCCCCAAGTGGGCGCCTAACAGAGGGCGCAGTGTCTATAGAAATTGAGACGTCCACCCTAGGTTTACACCGGCCAGCCCCGCAAGGGGGGGCCTAACATAGACTGCGCAGCGTCTAGAATCTAGAAATTGCATTTCCAAAACGCCAAGCAAATAAAATTACAAAGGCAGCAGCGAGCACGCGCCGGGCAGACGTTTCAGTAAGCGCTGAAGGCCGGGCGCTACCATCAGCCAAACTATCGGTGAATGGTGGGCTAAGATTCGACAGATTCGCCTGGGCGCACGGGCGACAAGTGGAGACAAGAGTCAAGTGTAGAATCATCCGGCCAAGAGCATCTTCACCTTGAGCCTGTTGAGCCAAGAACTGAAACAAACCCAGAAGGTCCGAGTTGATCACAGCGAGCTGGAACGCTTTGGGCCGTAGACTGTTTGACAGTTCGTCTCAGGTCCCACGTCACAGACTTGCCGTGTTTTCCCAGTCGTAATCAGTCGTAATCCAGTCGTGATCCTAGTCGTTATTACCAAAAACGCAGCGTTTACTGAGGATTTGGCTAGAAAGCATGAGTTGAAAGAAATTCAATACAATTCCTTCTTGGAAGAAACTGAGTCCGACTGGGCTTATGTGTGTGAGGGTTGATTCCGACTTGGATCACGACTGGATTACGACTGATTAGGACTGGTCAAAAACAGCGCTTTACAGCCGGCTAAAAGCTTTGACCTGCGAAACCAGGCGAACGTGGACAAAAAACAGGGTGGAAGTGACAAGTTGCATTGCAACTGCGCACATGTCAACTGTCCAAGACTGCAGTTACTGCAACCCGACACACGCCTGTCTAGAGGCTGGGGCCACCACAATTTAACCTAAGTCCGGAAAACTTCCCACAAAGTGCTTTGAGCCCACGCCGCGGCAGCGAAAACCAGTGTCTGTCAACTGCTGTTGCCTCTAAGTGGAAGACTTCTGCTGCAAACATGTCCAAGAAGTGTGCTGCGCGCATCCATTTTTGGTCCCACGAAAGGAACGTTGAAACGTGGACGGGTTGGCAGGCCCTCCGCAGTTTCAATCAATGGTGCGCGGCGCTGCTCCAAAGGTTGGAGGTAGCTTCCGCCGCTTGGGTGAACTAGGTGGGGTGACAGGGCCAGGCCTAACTTGCCCACGCTCTTTTTGGAGCCTGTGGCTTTTGGGTTGCCACAGAACATATGAAAGATGGTCCGCTTTACTGCGCTTAGGGAAGATGGCGCTAGCTTCCTCTGCGGTCAAGGGATTGTCTCCAAACTCCACACCACGAGCAAACCCGAAAGCACCACGCAGGCGGTTGGAAACGCGCCGTTGTTGTTCTAGAATTCCGGTGGATAGGAAGGCGCCCCGCCAACTTGCCGTGGCTAACGCTGTCTGAATAGCTTCAAAAACTATTTCCAGCCAACAAAGGTCGGTCACAACACCACCAGGCAAATTTGATCGCCGTTCTCGCCAAATGTCCCGGAACGAACGCTTAAATTTGGCAAACACATGAGTATCACAGGGTTGGAGGTAGGCTGTCAATTTTGCTGGCACATAAACCAGTCGAATGCCACATCGCCGGGCATGCACGAAAATGGATTGGTGTATATGCGATGGGTTCACATCCACCAGCAGAATTACTGTTCTGTCACGAACAAGGTTCCCCAGTGACTTGGCCAGTAAACTCAGCCACTTCCTCATGGTCTCATGTGAATTCCACGACGACTTCAACCGCCAGCAGACCATGTTAGCAGGCAATTTGCCGGCGATAGTGTCCAACAAAGCCTTGCTTACTTGACGCTCATTTCCCAGAACGACTTGAGGGAGTTGCCCTTGGACTCCAGCGTCGCGAGTTACGCAAGCGAAATACGACATGCAGGTACGACGATCACCCAAGGTTGCACGGTCCACTGCTTTCTGCTGAGAAGCAGAGAACTTGGCCACGTAACCACGGATACGTGTGGGACGCCGCACAAGCGCGGTCTCATCCATGTTGATGAAAAGGGGAGGTCTGTCTGCAGAAGCTTCCCTGGAAGCAAGATTCACCCAACGAAAAAACGCGGCTGCCTGCGCCAAAGGAAGGGGCTGAGAACGGGGCCGCAGAACGGACCCAAAAGCAGGGCTACCATGTTTCCTTTTGAAAAGGAAGGTGAAAAAAACGGTGCCACCATTTGGACCTAGATTCGGGGCCGCAGAAAGCGGACCAGAAGTCTTTTTTGGCAACAGCAACAAACAACATGATGCACTGAAAGGCTTTGAAACCACAACAAAGTTGACCAACCCTACCGGCCTTAGATCTTCGCTCCTCCACTGGTACATAATCTTGCGGTCGTAGAACACCAAAGCTACAGCCCCATCGCCTTCGAAACCTGGCCAACCACTTCCGCTGCTTCCTTGGAGCACCAGAGGCCAAGCTGCACAAACATTTTCGAATTTTCGGAGGGGCTTCCTCAGCAATGTGCATTGGGATCTGCGCTAGCACTTGTTCCCGAGATGGCGCAACAGAATGCTCTACGTTTTGGACAGCAATCCAGGCCGCCAGCCGGTGTTCCATCACGTACTTGTGAGCACACAACAATTCATCAAATTCAAAATGACTGAACGGGTCTTTTGCCAACGCAGCCACAGCCGACACAGGCGCTTGCGCGTAAGCCTCCTCAACGTCTGCTAACAAATGTTTTCTGTCGCTGCATTGCTCAAACCTGCGCCGGCCTCTCCTCTGCCACCTGTGCCCCCACCCACGACCCAGAACAAAATCGGCTGCAACTCCAGCCAAGCGCCCTGCCAAGATGTAAACCATTACACAAACAGAATTGTCAGGCCTGCACCGAGACACCACAGGAGCAGGCCGCGGCACAGCCGCAGCTTTGGCCCTCTTGTATTTCTTGCTAGCAGCGTCAATGCGCTTGTTCAACTCCGAGAAGTCTTGCCGGGTCCACATCAGCAGCTGCAATTGGCTCTTTCAATGGGGGAAAATGTCGACCCTTGCACATGTGGAATCCCTTGTCTTTTGAAGCACTTTTTTATGAACCCCGCTGCACAGCCCAACATGAAAGTACTCAGTAAGTCGTGTCAGGGTGGGAACCAAAGCCTTCCCACATGTGTGTTTGGCACTGATGCGCTTGGACGATTGTTGTTGAGCAACTGAAGCCGGCGACAAAAGTGGTTGAGAACTCTTGCTTTCAAAAGAACAGAAGCTACTCACAGCAGTGCTCCCCAGTGAGCAAGAGCTTGCTAAGCTGAGGAGGCCCCACCTAGAGTGTCCAGTTTTCCTGCGTCAGCAAAAGCCCCAAAACCAAGTCCGTAACTTTGCCTCTGGATCACAAACCTGGGCATACTGTGGCGCTCGGGAATACATGAAACAAGAACAGACTGGCCCAGCAACCCCATCATACTTTTCTGTTCGCCTTCAAAAAACGCAGGAGCGTGTCTCCATGTCTCAAAAACTGAGCAGCTGCCCTAACAATACCTAGTCTTCCTCACCATCACCATCAGCAGCACCGCCTCCAATGAGAACTAATTTAAATTTAGAGCAAACTGAAAGTGGGCCATGAGCAACACACTCAAAACCACATCCACCCGCGCGCCTTCGCCGCGATCACTCTCAGATGAAATGGCATCAGCCTCCTCCACATCATTCGCACCTGGTTTGCCAAGAGCTCCACACACGCAGAAAGCAAACAAACAGTCTAGACCTTCGCCTGCAACGCCAGCTGCAGCGCCAGCTGGAGGATTTGGAGGGGGAGCACCATGACCTGTGACAATGACACGCGCATAGACAGCCACAATTTGGGGGGATCTTTTCACACAGAAGACTTTCCGCGCCATCTCCACCGCCAGCTGCTACCACCGCAGCTCCACCACCTCCGAGAGTGACACGCGCATAGACAGCCACAATTCCGAGGATCTTTTCACACAGAAGACTAATTTCCGCGCGCCATCTCCACCACCAGCTGCTACCACCGCAGCTCCACCACCTCCGAGAGTGACACGCGCATAGACAGCCACATTCCGGTGATCTTTTCACACAGAAGATTTTCCGCGCCATCTCCACCACCAGCTGCCACCACCGCAGCTCCACCACCTCCTGCAAATGCCCCATGAGTGAATGCTCGGCCGTCCATCCGCCACCTGGCCTCCTGCTCCGGCTTGGTGCACCAGGAGCAACAGGTCGTCACGGCTGAGTTGCCGGGCAGCCTAGTGCGAAACAGCAGCAACTGTATTCTAATTTCGAAGATGTCCAAGCCTGCATCAGGCGGGCACGTCGTTTTTTCATATTCTTCTCCTGCTTTGCCAATGCACGGTTGGCCGCGCGCATCGCGGCCCGTCGTTGCTTCAAGTCATTCAACTCCTCCGCAAGGACCTCACCAAGGAACCAACATTTTGCGCAACGAGAAGACACCCCGCACAAAGCTTAGACCGCCTCCACGCGATTCCTCTTTGGAGGCATGTCCTGATTACAAACGGAGACGGCGCGCGCGTTTCAATTGCTGGCCGTTACAGTCCGGCCTCTGCGCGCGTTCCCACAAAGAAACCGTTTTGAACACACAGGGCTGTGGACAGGCGCGCACGCACTTCTCACTGTGAGGCCTAACCGAACTACTCGGCTGCGCACCGAAGGTTACCCCCACACCCCCC